ACACCGCAACCACAAAAATGTTTCAGCTGAAACCTGCACTTCTTAGACATCGCAGTCAGTCTGCTGATTAGACACAAAAGAGCCAGAGTTCACTGTATTGCTCGATGTTATTTACTATTTGAACTCAGGAACTTTTTGTTACTGCTTGGGACCTAATCCTTCTTGGGACTCACTTAAACATCCCTGAGCACCAGTGCAATCCTGTAGCAAGGGGTTTCATGTTGCACTTGTATAAAAAGTATTTTCTTTTACTATTTTTGAACTTGCTTCCTTTCACATACCCTCATCAGAGCTGCCACTGCTTGTAGAGCCCAAGATGCAAAATCTTGTATAAGCTATTTTAAATGAAACCGTAGGTCATATAGAAAGTATTTGCTTTTGTACAGAAACATTTCACTGTGCACGTTCAAGTGTGGGAGGTAAGGTAACGCGTCTCGTTAAAGTACAAAGAAATACCTCTAATTGTCAGAGCTTGAAAACGTGAGTGGCACATGAGAGTAGTATAAGCCAAAGGTTTGAAAACAGAAAAGAGAAACAGAAACTTGTGAATTCAAATGCCTTTGTCACCACGAGGAAAGCAGTGCTGCGTATGACTCACTCCAGCTTCCATTCAACCTATGGAAAGCCTTCTTTAGCACAGATTTTCAACCTGCAAAGACTTATATTGACCTGCATGGCCTGAGTAGCACCTACCGCTCAAGGCAATAGCGCAACAACTCCTGTGCAGAAATGAAGCATACAAGCACATTTTCACAGGAGTAGGACATAAATGGGAGCTGCATCAGACCCTTAATCTTTTTCCCCCAGCCCCTCCTCTTCCTCCACCACCATCCCATCAGTAAAACAAGAACAATAATACCCATCTCAGCAGGGTACACAAGGATTAGTTTAAAACTGTTTTTACCTTTTCTCCTTTAAGCTCCTAGAAAAAAAAAAATAAATCTTTCTGTATTTTACTTTTTTATACTGCAAGAAGCAATTTGTTTCTTGCCCAAACCTTTCCACTGAGCCCAAACCTTTCCAGCTCAGTGGGTGGGGGGGCGCCTTGAAATGTTTCCACCTTCCTCGGAACTGATGATAAATCAACACAGAGGTGTCTGCCAGCAACAATAGCCGTTAACTTGCTGCACTAAAATGGCTATTTAATCTGCTGACTAATACATCAAATTATTTCTGCCTCAGCTAGTATTTGAGCACAGCACTGGCCCATTACATTACTTGAAACAAGCCTACTTTAAAATACAAGAGCGAAAATGAGTGATGTCTGGACTTTTGTTCCTCTTTTGTAAGGTTCTGTGTCAGAGGGAAGCTAAAAACCAACATCCTGTAATTGTGAGGCTGGCAGCAGGCACTTCAAACTCTGCGCCTCCTTGCACTCTGAATAACACGGAGAATATGGAATAATAAAGGCTGTGCACATAGCAGGGCTCTGCAGTACCTTTTGCCTCAATTGTTTATGTTGGAGCGGTATCTAAAGTCCACAAAGTCAAGGTCCCTTTGTGCTAGGTACCAAAGAAACACAGAGCAAGAGGGGGTCCCTGTCCTGGGGAATTCGGAGACCAAATAGCCAAGTGGGCTGAGGGGAGGGGACGGGGAGCCAGATGCGACCAACAGGTGAAATGACTTGCCCGAAGGTCATGCTATAGATTAACGCTAATGCCAGGAGTAGCGCTCCTGTCTCTCGAATCCCAACACAGCCTGCTAGCCAGTGGCTCGTGTTTTGCTCATCTTTGAACCTCTCCCCTTGCACAAAAAGAAACCTTTCTTCCTTAAGTCTTGCATTTTGAGAACTTGCACGGTCATCTGTCTGCTTCTGACCAAGCTGTAAGCTGAGCTAAAGGGCAGAGCCATGTTTCTCCTCCCCTCTTCTTTCCTAGCTTCCTACCTGCCCCGCTGCCTCTGGGACAGCACCCATACTCCACCGCAGTGGAGCTGAGCCGGCCGGTAGCTAATATTTTTTAGGCAGGGCCAGGTCTAGCTTAAACCAGTCTTGAAATCTGAACTGCTCTTGAACTGCTCTGAGAAAGGGATCTGACTACAGCCTTAGACACTTTTTTGTGACACTTAGACACTTTATAAAAATGGGGTAGAAAAGCATACAATCAAGGCTTCGCCACTCTTAACGGTTTCCTTTGCTCTGCTTTACACCATTTACAAACTGCCCGAAGCACTTTTGAAGTAGGCAGGAAACATTTGTATGAGCAGCAGACATCAGCAATTAAGGTTTTGACAGAAATCCATACTCACCGCCCAATGGTTATTCCAGAGATGGTCTTGAGAAGAAGGTGATGAACTACTCAGCTAACGTCCCTACTGCTGCTGTCCCATCAGACACTTGTGAAAGGAAAATGTTAAGCTACTTACTGTCAAGTTAGTCAAGAAGTCTTTCAGGAAGTCTTTAGCCTGGAAAGTGGATCTTTTTGATCTTGGGGCGAGGTGGATTACTGGATATGAAGCAACAGGCTGGAGGTCTAGCACTGCTTCTGCACACATCAGCTGGATCCAGACCTGGAATCACAGACCTTGAAACAACCTACAACGAGGTTTGAAAAATCTTTGAAAAGGGATTATTTGGCAACACTGAGTTTTGAACAGCTATAGACAAATTCATACATCAACAACATGAAATTATCTTTTGCATGAAGTGCTTGTTACGCCATATCACAAGAGAGATGAGATCAGCTGCCAAACAGAAAACGTAGGGGCGACCTTGGGAAGAAACAGGTAGGAACACTTGCATTTTCTGATCAACACAACGCCCCTACAAATACACGGACGTAGCTGCTTTTAGCAAGAGCTAAAAGATACATCTTTTTCTCCAGGGCCACCCCAGTTGATTAAGTCCTGTTTTCTTATGCCTCTAGCAAGGAAGCAGCAGAAGGCTTGATGATTTTTTTCCAGTCCTGTGTTGCAAATAAGGCATCCATACACTGCATGGTGGGCTCAGAGAAAAAAGAAAAGCAAAGCCAGCAATTTTTCTCTGTGTATCAAATTTCTGGATTTTAGAATGAAGAACAGACATTGCACTCTTGTCCTGAATTTTATTAGGAAATTAACAGGCTGATCGATAACCTGAAATTACATAGCAAAGCTCATTTTAAAAAACATTCAAAATCATCATCGCAACAATTCTGATTTCTATAAAACATAATGCCCAGATATAATCCCTGCTTATGTCTGTACATTTCTAAACCCTTAACATTTATCTACTGTACAGCAGCAAGACTGGATAATTTTAACATAATCTGTAAAGTTAAATGCAGTACACAGTTCTCTGCAGTCCAAGTGAAATAGATGAAATGTTTAAAACAAAGCAGTACTGGAATATGAGCAGTATTATGAAGAGCTTGCCTGTGATCTCAGTCCATCATGCATCAGCATTTCAGACTGCTCATATATATTACAGATTGGTGACATTAACTGCTGTGCAAAATTATGAGGCTTTAGGGCATCAGTTTTTCAATAGTTTTTTTTTTCTTTTTGAGTCTGCTCTCTTTCAAACAAGCATTTACATCTTGCATTTTTATATACATCACTAGAGGGTGGAACAGTTTGTAACTTACAGACTTCCCAACTTCCTAAAGTCGCAGCAGCAGAGCACTCCTCAGCACGGGGAGGGAGAGCTGGGGGCACCCGCATCTCAGGCCACGCGCAGGGCTGTGACGAGACATGCCCCACAGGGGGTTGTTAAAAAAAAAGAAGCCCTGCTGCCTCGGTGCAGGCGTTAAGTGCAGCTGCTTTCCTGCTGGGGGGATCGATCCCCCAGGCAAGGTGAGCGAGGCCCAGGAAGCTGCTGCTGGCACCTGCCGTCGCGGACGGGAGCGGGACCGCTGTGAGATACCGTCATTGCAGTGAGGGGAACAAGGTGCACAGGGTGCACGTGACACTCAAAGCACAAGAACTGATAAAGCTGTCTTCAGTTCCCTCTTCTTCTGCCAGCAACATATGCTACTGTTACTAAACCGAACTAAATAGCTGCTCTGTAATCCTCAGTTTCCCGTCACTCTGTCAACTGTAGAGACGTTCCTCCTTCAAAATAGGGCTTATATGGTACAGGTGCTGAGGTTTTTGCATGGAATGAATTTCAGCCTTGGTAATCAAAGCCCAAATCCTGCTTACCTTGTGCACGTGAAAAATCACACTAAGCCAACCACAGCTGCTTTTAATGCAACTATAATGTGGGGTAATGTGCTTTAACTCTGTGAGTTGCAGGTGAGGCCCTTGGTCCTCTAAATTAGGGCTGATATTTTTGTATATCAAAGGACTCTTGTAAGGAGTTGAATTTCTCAAGTCATTATTCAGGACACTATTCAAATTGTTGTATATGCTGTCTGGAGGAGAGATGCTTTCCTGAATCGGGGCCTCAATTCCCGCAAGAATTATGAATGTGCAGTAAGTAGCCAGCTCAAGCACTTGACCAGCAAGTCCAGGCACTTTGTGTGTGTGCTGTTGTACTATTTTTGGAGAGCGTAAGCTAAAAAAATAGATTTAAGAAGTAGCAAGCCTTCTTTTTAAAAGCTATTTCAGGACAAGCACATTCAGATCACTGTGTTTTCTATTTATATATAAATTCTTTGGCAGCAATTTTCTATAAAGTAGAATCATTTTTTCTATGTAATACTTTATTGCCTCCCCATGAAAAACTGATATCTTAAAAATCTATAGTGCTTTCCACTATAAATAGTATTGTTCCAGATTAAGGATTAGTTCCTCCCTGAAGAAAAACAGATTTTAAAAATCTGGTCATTATTTGATAACTGTTTATGTAGTAACCTTAAAATAAAACAGAAAAAGAAAATCATTCAGTATGTGGTTTGTCATTCTCTAGAATGTTAGTGTTATGCTTATACAATAAAACCAACATAAGTTATCCTATTTGTTTTAAAAACCTTAGTAGTAGAAATATATTGCTATCTGCAGATTCATAAACAGAATGCACATTTTCCATCTAAGTTCAAGTATTATTAGAATATTATTATTGCTATTATTATTATTAAAGGAGCTCTAAATCCTTGCAGTTTTGCCTGTCTTTACATTGTCTTGGTCTTTCCGAGAAATAATGAGTTGCAATCATTTGCTCTTGAACAAAATCAACGTGAAACTTCAGTAAGTTTAGCCTGGTAGAAAACAGCCTGGCAATCCTTAGTCTTATTATGAGTGACTTTTAGAAGAGTGTATTTGAGACGAGTAGTACAGATGCAACAGTCCTGTGTTTTCTTGGATGGCTGATGAACTTAATTCCTTCCAGAGTCACAACATCCAGTCTCATTTACATGAGAAAGGTGGGAAGAACCCAGCCCAGACTTATACCACATCAGGAGATATCCTCTTGGTTTCTTCTTGGCACTGTCAGTTGCTCATAGGTCGGCAGAGTGTTATTAGGGAGGAAAAGATCTGAATTAACGTTGTTGCCCCTCTGAGATGCTCTGATGTTGCCTTGGCCGCCCTGCTGACTGGAAACCAGATGATGCAGCATATCTGTAATGAGGTTCAGTTTCTGGTCCATTTGCGTAACCTGCAGAGGCAAAGGGAAAGTTTGCTTAGTATCAACACTTGAGACAAGTTGCAACAAACCACGTAATGCAAATGAGATATGAAAACGACAGTCTTCTTAATTAGCATCACAACCACCTCTACACAAACACAGCACGTTCACAGTCCATCAAGCAGAGCATTGGAAAGTTATTGCAATAGGCCAGACACAGAAGAGCGGCCTGAGGAGAGCAACCGTTCATCTGTTAATGCTCATCTCTAGCACATGCTTTGACAGTCTTTTCATACCTGAATAAATGCATGGCAATCAGGCTTGTAAAGTGAAAGACCCTCCTATCAACACTGTGTTGGGATAGAGAACTTAGTTCCAGAACTGAGTTTCTGTTTTTTTTTTTTTTATTCTTATTATTATTGTATCCACATTTTTTAAAAACACTATAAACTTCTGACATGCATGTATGCCCTAATCATACCAATGTGCTATAGTAAATATCTGCTCTGCATGCAGCGATCTAATGAGCTGCACGCGAGGTCTGGCTGCGGCTCTCCCTGCTACATTTGGGCCACATTACCAACTCGGGCCACTAAATGCCACAGTGACATTTCTGCTGATGCAACTGCACAGCAGCTGCTTTCTGCGCCTGTGGGGTGGGCCGGGACATGAATCACTGTTATTCCAAGCCGTTCCTCCAACGACACAGAGCTCCCCAGGATTGCCACTGCAATTACGTGACTCACAGCAGCCCAGACACTCTTCTACGAGGGGTCAAAACTAACCTAACTAATGGGGGCTGGGGGCTGCAGGGGAAGGTTCGGTCTCAACCCGCAATGCCCGTTCTCCTCAGCCTCTGGACAGAAGCTCCTTGAATTATTTACTACCATTTTTGTTGTTCTGCTTTTTATTCTAGCAAACGTGACGACAAATCAGGATACATACCAGAGGCTAGGTTATGCGTTTGTTCAGAGCTGAGGTGGTATTTGGAGGACGTTTGTGGTACCCAGAGGAAAATCGAGAACTGAAACGTTTCTAAGGGCACCCCAGTTTCAGTCTCTGGTTTCCTGCATGTTCCAGTCAGGTCATCTGCACCAGCCCTTTTACCTGGCATGGGACACCTCCTCCCCGCTCTGCCGAACCGAGGGAAGATGGGCCCTGAAAGCTGCGCGTGGAGAGAGCTCAAAGTGCCGCCCCCGTCGCTGCCCGGGGCTGTGGCAAGCGGGCAAGCGATCCCACCGGAGCAGGGGGCTCCCCTGCCCCGGCGGCAAGCGGCTCTGAAACTGGGCAGCGAGACTGTGCCTCGTGCCCTCTTACGTCCTTCTGCAAGCATAAAGAGAAAGCCACGATTTTGCCGTTGTAGTCTCAGGTCCAGTGGTCCACGGGGGATCCCAAAACACAAAGTAAACTTCTAGGCAAAAAGCTGTGATAGGTTTTACAAAGGAGAAAGAAAGCAAGCAAAAAAACTGTGATAGGAATAAACTGCTGCCTAAAATATCTGCTAGAAAGCAGTGAAAGGCACATAAAACTGCTAGAAAGAGCATGAGTGGGAGCAATTTATGTGTGCTTGGCTATCATCCAAGTATCACACAGGATAGTAAAAGACAGTAAGGCTGAGCAGAACATCAACAAACCTGGAGGATTTCAGCAGAGACTAAAATGTTTTTCCACTGCAAAGAAAAAGCTGGTTTTTTCAAACACTTTGTACAACTGGTAGGGAAGCAGATATAGTAATTTAAAAATATGAGGTGCCAGAGATTTATACTTTGCAGCTGGTTTTGAAAACATTAGCCAAAGCACCCTAGATGGTACGTGAAACACTAGTAATTCTGGATGGGAATGGCTGTTGAAAGATGAGATTCTCAAAACGAGGAAGTTCCAGAACACATAAGTTCAAGATTTCTAGAAGGAAACGCAGATGGAAAATGGAGCAGATCAGCAGGTTTTGATTTCATCCCTATTTGTTCGTTCCCTTAAAAAAAAAAGGCAAGCTTTTTACTAATGGTGCCCAGCAGAGATGGCAAACGCATAATGTTCTAAGCATGACAGCACAAACCGCTGCTAGCGAAGCGGGCAGAAACATCTCCTTTCTCCACCCCCCGCCGCCCAAGTACCGCTGGCTGCGCTGGAAGACCTAGAGTGGAAGAGCGCAGACTAAAAGCCGCCTTCGGAGTCTGGAGCACAACTTTTCCCCTAACAAGAAATGTCTTTTGTGCTAATTATTCTTAAGTAATTAGGGGATTTTTTTTTTTTTTAATTTGTGATTGCAGACAGCGATTACCAGAGGAAGTACAGGCTGAAGATATATCTGGAAAATGTGCATTTATGAAACTCCTGCAGTGATGGGCTATTGAACACGACAGTAGATTGGACCAAGATCTGGATAGTCCTTCAACAGCTGTGCATCTTGGTGATGAAGTACTGGAGAGTAAGAGAAATGTGAATATTCTTGCTGGGAAATAAATTCCCACAGATAATTGTCTGTTTTTCCTATGGAGCAAGGTTTGGCTGCTGCAGCTGTGGAGTGCAGGAGGCCCACAGAAGCAGAGGCAGAAGCTAATTACTGTTGAGCTGAGCCATATGAGATAAAAAGTAAAGCCCTTCTTCCACGCTCCTGCTTATCTGTGCATGCCTCCTAAGCCTCAAAGCAGCATTTGTGCAGGGAGGTACAGAGAGCTGGTGGTGTTTCATTGTTGTAGAATCAGTCTAGCTTTTAAATAAAGAAAACCATTTCCCAGGAAATTCTGTGCCCATTAAAGGCTTGCTCCAAGACACGCTGAAGTCAGTGGTAGTTTTTGGCAATCACAAACTTCCAGTGACTTCAGTGGGCTCTAGATCAGTCTTGGACTGAGCTGACAATCCCAAATAGTAACGCATTCTTTGGATATTACAAGGAAAGAGAAATTTAAATTCCTCTGCGTTGCTTTGCTCATGCCTCTTAGGGCTGGATCAGAAAAGATGACATCTGCAAACGAGACAGGAATGGGGTGAAGGGCCCCCATGCTTGACCCTGCCAAAAGGGTGTCTTCTATTAAAAGCATGAGACCAGTACAGTTTAAAAAGAGAATGAAAAACCATCAGAAGGCAACTTCTACTATCATCACAGGTTTCTGATGTACAAGAATAAGTGGCTTGTTGGTGAACAGCCTTGCATACTAGCAATCCCAGTCTTCCTTTGTCTTTCAAATACTAATACACATCCTGAAAAAAACCATTTACTTATTTGCTGCAGAGATAATTGCATCCTCTCGAAAAATGTCACCGTGCGCAATATCTTTTTTATTAAACTGGATTTATGCATTTAACTTATTGCGTGTAGAAGTGTATCATCTCCCCTGAATCATACCTTTAAGCACATTTACTTGATTAGAAATTAACTCTGATGCCAGAATGTAATAAAAGCAAAGCAAACAGGAAAAGTGCTGATGTTGCTATAATCTTAACTGCTTTGGACAACCCCGATCCCACTACTTAAAACAGCAAACAGTGTTAATTATGTAGAAAAATAACTCAGACTGATTTTGTTTCTTTTAGGAGAAAATAAGCGCTTTTTAGGTGATTTATGCTTCACTAGCAGTTATGATGTTTGATCAAATTCTTTAAATGCAAATCATTTCCTTTGAATTTTGCAGTTGCTTGGCAAACCAAGTCATGTTTGAAACTCTTCAGAAATTACCCACCGTGCTTATTAAAAAGTCTATTTGAAAACTGTATGCAAACAACATTTTTCTATCCCCCAAAACAAGGATTTTTTTAAAGGATCCAGGGGTCATAGATTGAGCACAGATAGACAGAAGCAGATTTAAACAAGTTTTGAATCTAGCTCTTAGAAATGAATTTAAAAAATCACATCCATACAGTACACTGAAAAAAAAAAACAAAATAGTTTTTGCACAAAGACTGAAAGATTAGAGTACAGATTTGAACTGCACATCATAAACACAGGTAGCTATGGTATGGAATAGCTTTTTGCTATCCCTAAGAAGTTACAGAGGCATATCGTTACGCTGATGTCCCATACTGTTCACTAAGGGCATTGACATAGCTGCTGTGAACCACAAGGTCCTCTTATGGCATGTTTTCAGGAAAAGTAGTTCTCTACAGTTATATAAAATAACATGCCAGATTTTATGCAGGTATCAAAGGCATTCCAGCAGGTGGTAGTGAATGAGGTAGAGACTGTTCTTGCGAAAAGAGGGAAAAACAAAATAAAGAGCAATTTATCTATTAAAATTCCACAAATCTTAACACTATATTCATTTCAAATGTTCTGTAAGTTTAAGCACCCATAACAAATCTATGGTACAATTCAGAATATCATATGTAACAATTATTTTTTTTTTAAACCAAAAAACAGAGAGACACCTGGGTGGCTTTAAGTACCCAGGGACAGCTGGAAGACAGTCTCCTTCATGCACCACTATGAAGGAGAACTAAAAAGTGGACTTCTGTAGGCTCGCTCCCAAAACGTAGCATAGGGATGTACTGGGAAGGGGCAAGGGCAGCTGGAATCATGGAGCAGAGGGGAACGACATTTTCAGCTATGGATATTCAGGACAGTGGGTCAACCCAAGGATAAAACTTGGAGGCTGGCATAATTCAGGCCACAAGGATCATCGACAACTACAAGTTACCAATAACTTATGCCAAGTGCTGCTCAATGATCTGGAGGGATAAGGGCAATTAAAGCAGTTTTAGCTGCCCTTCCTTCTGCATTTCTAGTTCCCTAACTCAGAGATTTCAAAGCAAAACTTGAACATTTTTTAAAATGGTTAAGGGTAAAAATTATCGTCGCTTTGGACAGAACGGCGGTTGATAACTACCTATATTCTCAACACAGCTAACTGATTAAACAAATAATTTGTGCTTACTCAAGAAATTTTTTTACCAGCACAATTTATGCCCAGTGCTCACTCAGTGGATTCAGGTGGACTGTGTTTGTTCTTAATACAGCAAGACAAGCGTAAAGCTGCTACAAGACAAGAGGAAGAAAAGAATGCAAGCTACATCTGGCCGAATGAAAAAGTGAT